GGTCGGAGCGGGAGCGGGCCAGAGCCCCCCAGGCCACCCCCAGTGTCCCTCCTCCTGTCACCCGTCCCACCCTGGTCCCGATCCCGTTCCCCTCGTCGGTTCCCCCCACCGGGGACCCCAGGGGACGTGGTCTCACGGGGATGCCCGGGGCTCTGCTTCCCTCTGTTTTTTTTTTCCCCAGTTTCCTCCAAAAAGGAGGCTTCTGCGGACACTCGGCCCCTGCCTGTGCCTGTGCGTCCCTGCCTTTCTTTTTTTAGACGCTTTGGTAATTTCTCCGGCTCTGAAGTACAGGACAAATCTCACAAACACTCTAAAATATGCCTTAAAATAAAGTGACCAAACTTGTCATTTAAAAGGAAGAAAGGTACTGACAAAATGCCATTACAGCATTGACTGAGAGGGTAGAGTCACCGTGATTCAAACGGAGCCATTCACTTCGAATTAACTCCAGGTGACTCCCCTAACGTGCCTGAGGATCGTCTGTGGCAAGCCCAGAGGAAATCTTTTGTGCTTCAGTTAGCAATAAGCCTTGCAAATCACAGCACAGATAACTGAGGATACCAGTAATATTTGGGCTTTTGCTTGTGCTGGGGCCCCTAGGAGTCCAACGTACTCTTTAAATACATGCTGATGGGGTTAGGAGGGCTGGGCAGGATTTTCCTGCCTGCTACCGTTTTGCCAACTGGGATGGAGACACCCCGGCAAAGCCTGGAGCCGCACACCCGGGCTGAACACCAGCGTCCCCTCCCTTTGGCCGCTCACCTCCTCCTTAGGTTTCAGGGCGTCTTCGACCTCGGAGATACTTTGATTTCATGCAAACTATTTATTTCTAGCTAAAGCAAAGCAGAAGCCAGCGGTTCCTCAGCCAGCGCTGTGCTCCACCTCTCCTGGCCAGCTTTGCCCTCGGCCGCTTCAAGCTGCCTCAAGCTTCGAGAGCTCGAGAGCCGCAGCCGCGAAGAGCGGAGAGCGATGGGGCGGCGGAGGGGATCTGGAAGCCCCTGAGATGCAGCAGGGTCAGGCCAGCAGCTCCCCCGCGATCCCACATCCAACGGCGATGCCGACGCACCCCTCCCCGGACCGTGCCGCCACCCTCTGCGGTTGGGCACGGCGGGAGACAGGCACCGTAAAGCGAAAGGCAGAGACTTCCCAGCATCACTTTATTTATTTCCCACTCCATGCTGATTTTACAGACACGCTCTCCAGGCAACCACCCGACGTTAAGGCATTTTTTAAGCCATATAAAACATTTTCCCCAGCTGCAGCTGCTGTCCCCGGGGCTGCCCGTGCCCACCGCCTCAGCGCAGCGTCACCAGCTCTTCGGCAGAAGTGGGGTGAATGGCGACGGTGTTGTCCAGGTCGGCCTTGGTAGCCCCCATTTTGATGGCCACGGCAAAGCCCTGCAGCATTTCGTCGCAGCCCAGCCCTTGCATGTGCAATCCCACCTCCTTTGGGGAAGAAGCAAGAGGCCGGATGGGACCCAGAACCGGCGAAATCCAGGC